CATAATCTATTTAAGAATCATCCATAGCAGTGTAATTAAAGCATCATTGCTTTTAATTGATAAATGATGTTCTGTGTTTCAGATGTAGGTTTGTTTTCTAGTCCTTCAGTTGAAGGACGGTTGAGTCATTTCTAGGTTTTAGCAACTGTGAACAAGCTTCTATGTCATTTTTGGCTAGATTTGTATGAACACAAGTTTTAGTTCTCTGGGTACATTCTCAAGTCTGGGAGTGCTAGGTCAGATGGTAAATGTACACTGACTTCACAACAAACTGCCCCACTGTTTTCCATCTTGTACTCCACCAGCAATGAATAAAATTTCCAGTTGCTCTTCATCCTTGCCAGAGCTTACTATCACCAGTTCTTGCTTTCTGTTTTAACCATCGCAGTAAATGTGTGGTGGTGTCTCACTGTGGTTTAATTTGCATTTCCTTAATGACTAATGATGTTGAGTGTCTGTTCCTATGCATAAGTACCTCTCACAGAGTTTCTTGGTGAGGGAGAGGCCTGTTCAATTCTTTTGTCCAATCTTCATCAGGTTATTTTTTCTTTAATAATAAATTTTGAGAGTTCTTTATATATTATAGTCCTTTTTCCTAGTTTATGGCTTATTTTTTATTTTTGGCAGTTCTAGGGAATTGAATTCAGGGCCTCATGCTTGCTAGACAAGCATTCTACCACTTGAACCACATTGTCAGCCTATGTGGCTTATCTTTTCATTATCTTAACATGTTTTTTTTCTTAAAAAGTTCTTTCTTTGTTTTAATTGACAAATAAAAATGTCATATATTTGTTGTATACAATCTGTGGTTTTAAATACACCTACAGAGCAGAATGACTAAATTGAGCTGATTAGTTCACATACTATTTTTGTGGTGAGAACACTTAAAATCTATTCTCTTAGCAATGTTCAAGAACTTAACATGTCTTTTGAAGAAAAGTTCTTTCTTTGTTTTAATTGACAAATAAAAATGTGGCTTATCTTTTCATTATCTTAACATGTTTTTTTTCTTAAAAAGTTCTTTCTTTGTTTTAATTGACAAATAAAAATGTCATATATTTGTTGTATACAATCTGTGGTTTTAAATACACCTACAGAGCAGAATGACTAAATTGAGCTGATTAGTTCACATACTATTTTTGTGGTGAGAACACTTAAAATCTATTCTCTTAGCAATGTTCAAGAACTTAACATGTCTTTTGAAGAGCAGAGTTTAATAATTTTGATAAAGTCCAAATTGCCAGTGTCTATTTTTATAGTTCATGCTTGTGTCCTATCTAAGAAGTCTTTGCTTAATGCAGGGTCACACAAATTTTCTCATTTTTTAAAGCCAGGCACCAGTGGCTCATGTGTAATCCTAGCTACTTGGGAGGCTAAGATTGGGAGGATCATGGTTCGTAGCCAGCCTGGATAAATAGTTCTTGAGAATCCTATCTCCAAAATAACCAGAGCAAAATGGATTGGAGGTGTGGCTCAAGTGATAGAGTGCCTGCTTTGCAAATGTGACACCCTGAGTTCAAAACCCTAGTCCCATCAAAACAGATTTTTCTCATTTTTTGGAAGCTTTATGATTCATATTCTCTATTTAGGTCTGCAATCTGTTTTAAGTTTGTATTTGAACAGGATGTGAGGTAGAGAAATCTGTATTAGTCCGACTTTTTGTCACTGTGACAAATACCTGAGAAAATAACTCAAAGGGAGGAAAGTTTTATTTTGGCTCATGGTTGGAGAGGTTACAATCCAAGCTCAGCTGGCTTCGTGTTTCTGGGATGTGAAAAGGAAGAGCATCCTAGCAGAGACTGTGGCAGAGGAAAGCTCCTCACTTCATGATAGCGAGGAAACAGAGAAAGACAGAGGAAGGAGCCAGGGGACAAGATATGCTGTCAAGGGCACATGCTCAATGACCTATTTCCTCCAGGTAGGCCCACCACCTAAAGCTTCTACCACTTCCCTAAATAGTGCCGGCAGCTGGGGGCCAAGCCTTCCACACACGAGCCTGTGGGCGTGTCTCATACTCAAAGTTTATTCCTTTCCATATTATAACCAATGGGCACATATTGACACATTCTTATCACCCAAAATCCATAGCATAGATTAAAGGTTCAGAAGGTGCTATACATCCTGTGGGTTCAGGTAACTGTGTAATTTCACGTATGGACCATGATAGAACCGTACGGGATTGCTTTCCTTCCCTAATGATCTTCTGTGCTTCAGCTATTCCCTCTCCACCAACTCTTGGCAACCATTCTTTGTATTGTATCCATAGTTTGGCCTTTTCCAAAATGTCACATAATTGGAATCATCACTTAATGTCCTTTTCAGATTGGCTTCTTTCACTTAGTAATGTGCATGAAAGCATCCCCTGTGTCTTTCCATGGCCTGACAGCTCATTTCTTTATGATGCTGAGTAATTCCCCATGTTGCATGTACCAGTTTATCCACTGTTATGGCTGGATTTGAAATGTCCTCCAAAAGCTCATGGGTGCAGCTTCGGCCCCTAGTGCAGCAGTGTTCAGAGGTGGTGTCTCTGGGAAGTGATTCTTGGCTGCAGTGAGATGGGCAGCTTTGCCCGACATGTGCTCCCACCATGATACACTGTCTTGCCACAGTCCTAAAAGCAACCAGGCCAAGTGATCATGGCCTGAAACCCCTGGGACTGTGAGCCAAAATAAACCTTTTCTCTTTTGATTTCTCTCAGGTATTTTGTCACAGCACAGCAATGGAGAGCTGACTAACACATCCATTCACTTACTGAAGGACATCTTCGTTTCTTTCAAGTTTTGTCAATTCTAGATAAAGCTGCTATAAACACCTGTCTGCAAGTTTTTGTGTGGACATAAGTTTCAACTTGATGGGCTGTATAGTAAGAGTGTATTTAGTTCTGTGGTACTTTTTTACATTTAGGTCTTTACTGTATCTGGAATTTCTTTTCATTAAACTTTAGAAAGTAGTCAAACTTTCTTCCCCAAATGGATAGGTATTTGTACCTACACCATTTAGTGCCTCTGTCTTTTCCTCATGACTAGAAAGCATCATCTGCAGGTAATGGTGTGAGCCTGGACAAGTTAATCAACGTCTCTGTGCTCCAGACACTCCACTGACAAAGGGGAAGACAATAACTGCTCACAGTGCTGGTGCAAAGAGGAAAGGAGGCAATGAGAATGGATATGTTTAGAAAAGTAAAAAAATCCTATACCCTGAATCATCTGTATACAGGTGAGGCTATCATGAAGATTCTTTCTTTTTTTTTTTATAGTGCTGGGGAATCATACCCAGGGCTTTCTGTGTGCTAGGCAAGTGCTCTATCACTGAGCTATGCCTCCAGCATCATGACAACTCTTTCTGAGGCTATGCCATCAGGAACCACCAAAGAATTCTCAAGCCACACATCCTATCTGAAATGTAAACATCAATGATCCACATTTTTAGGGAATTTGAGTGTGGGTTTCATTAGAAGGGTAGAGAAGGCTTGTGAAAGAATAGTGAGTAGTTGTGAGTGACGTATCAGTCTGGGCATCCTTTGATCCTATTGATTTCAAGAGGAGTTGTCGGACTGAGCTCCTTGAAGTCAAAGGGCTTGTGTCTAATTCATCTTAATAACAACAGAGACTGATCAGAATGGGGTGAGTAATTTTGTTGAATTAAATAAATTGAATTATCTTTATTGGAGTTCATTTGGGAAGGGAAAGGAAAGAAAGGTTAAAGAACAAGGAATCTCTTTCAAATATTCCTTACTCTTGTAAGGAATGTACCTTAAAGCCACATTCCTGCCAAGAGTAATTAGTGAAAATGATTTTTCCCCAGAAAATGGCAGTCTTTTTGGTATAGTTGGCCCAAGTCTTACTGCAATTCTGCATCTCAGACTCAGGAGTGGAGGAACAGGCTGGGAGCCCTGTGAAGTGCACTGGAGCTGCAAAATGAACACGAAGGAATCCAGACTTGCTGGACTCAGTTCAGCCAACTTGTCCAGCAACAGAGTAGGCCAGGTCATCGATTTGGGCAGAGAGGTGGGGTCATACCATGCTCACCAGAAAAAGGAGCTCTTGATTTACTAAGGGGGAAGCTGGATGCCAGTATGCCTAATCCCCTGGATCTTGGCTCCTACTTGATAACATTTAATGAATTTTTAGGCTTATAATAGGCATCTTCTTATCCAGGACATGTGGTATACAAAATTCCCCTAGCTTAAAATTTTTAGCATTCCCCTAAGTAACTTTCCTCGGCTGTCTAGATAGAGGCTTCCCCACTTCCTTTGGGGTGTACCATAACAGCCCAAAGGGCATCAGGTATCCCAACTATGGCCACATGGGGGCAGTGTCTTCCTCTGGGCTCCTTTGACTTTGACCTTGTGGCTGGGATACTTCAGAATAAAGCCTTGGTGGGTCAGAGGTGTAGAAGTTGGGGCTGGCACCTAGGTCCCAGGGAAGGTGATGGGCAGACACTTGAGGAGGCCTGTCTTTGGACAACCAATGTGGAATTCTCCTTTGTGTTCAATGAATTAAACAACCGGATATATATATATTTTTTAATTATTGGTGAAGGGACACTGCGCTCTGGAGTTTTAATATACAAAATTTAATTTCGTAGGGACCAGGACCCCAGGTCCTCTCAGGGAAACCTAATCTCTGTCCTCTGCCTGTGTGAGCATGGGGCAAACGAGTGACTTTCCTAATACTATTATTATCACCCCCATTAAATTAAAAATCAGGGAGGAGAGAATCCTCGCTGAAGTCTCTAGCTGACAATACAATGCAAAGAAGTTAATAAAAAGCCTTCAAGAAAAGCATTCAAGAGGTCTGTAAGTTAAATGTAAATTCAATACTTTTGTGGCATAAAACCAAATTGAATTAGAATGGGAGTTTTTACACAACTGTTGGCGTGGGCGGACACTAACAAACCTGCAGGTACAGCACCTGCGGCAAAAAGGCAGCTAGGGGACACGAGAGGGGATGTCTCCAGGTCCCGCCCCGCCCCGCCCCGCCCCGCCCTGCTTCAGTTCCAGGACTCGCCACTAGGGGCGGCAGCGGACTCCACAGCAGCACCGGCTGCAAAGCTGTGCGGCCCAGGTTTCCAGCCGGGTCCTTTTCGTCGACGGGCTTCCAGCATGGCTGCGCCCAGGGCTGCCGGCCCGGGGTCCGCCACGCTCTCACTTTCCTGACAGTTCCTGGCTCTTGTCTCCCCCGGGCTACCCCAGCAGACATGTTCGCCAAGGCCTTTCGGGTCAAGTCCAACACGGCCATCAAGGGGTCGGACAGGTGAGGGAGAGAAGACGTTTGCTCTGGCCACGAGGCCTCCGGGCATGTCGGGGTCCCGGTTAGGTTGGGTCAGCCGAGCTGGGGCAGAAGCCGGGGGACATAAGAGGAAGTTTAGATACATTTGGAGGTGACAGTGGGGAGGGGACCCATTTTATCTTCCAGGCTGTCTTCTGGACATTCTGGAGAGATTAAAAGAAGTAATCAGTGTTTACTGACTGCGGGCTATTTCGATGTTGTGGAGGATGTAAAAATGAAAGAATACAGGGTCCCTGCCCGCCACAGAGTTGACGGACCCTAGGGAAAGATCAGGTGAGGCATCGAGAACTAAAAGTATAGGAGAAGTGTCCAGTGATTGTGGTGGGAGGGGCCAGGCAGGTGTGGTAAGGAGAACTGTATCTGTTCACAGTGTCGCAAACACAGCTAGCTCCTTGGGAATTTTGGAACTAGTGTTCCATATGTGTCATTCTTGGTACCGTGGCATAACTGTTTTATAACAAGCTGACAGACTTGCCAAACATATGAGAAAGGAATGGGTCTGAGGGCCAGGCATGAAGTTGGGAATGGAGGGCTGGGTTTCCTATGTCAGGCTAATTTTAATTGTTCACTGGGCTTCGGTGTTCCAGTCAGTAAAATGGAAAGACATGCCTAGGGACATCAGAACATGGACCTATGAGACACTGAATGAGAAAGAACAGGATTTTGGAAGAGTGTGTGAGAACAGGGCATCATAAACCAGTCTTTTCTTAGCCTTTATGAGTCATTCTGAATCTCCCCATATTTATTGAAGTCCATCTAGGTAGTATTATGGTGCTGGTGTACTTTCTGCAGGAGAAAGCTTCGGGCTGATGTGACAGCTGCTTTCCCCACCCTTGGAACAGATCAGGTCTCTGAGTTAATACCTGGAAAGGAGGACCTCAACATTGTAAAGTTATATGCTCACAAAGGGGATGCAGTGACTGTGTACATGAGTGGTGGCAACCCCATCCTATTTGAACTGGAGAAAAATCTGTATCCAACAGGTATGGCAATAGAGTGGAGATGGCCATTATTACAGTCCTTGTTTAACACCTACTTCTGTATTTCTTCCATTAACCTGCCTGTAGTAGATCAAAGAAGCACAGAATCTTTCAATACTCCTAAGGATCTTTGCAGACCAAGTGTTCTTAGAATTGAATCTTTCAAAACCAGAAATTGTTATAGGAGGGAGAAAAACAAAAACATCCAATACAGAAAGATGATTACAAAGGGAAGTTCTGAGATAAAGAAGCAATGCTGAGTTCACAGTGGGCTAACTAGGGACAGAGCAGAGATTCTACAAAGAATGAAATTTCAGGACTTGTAAAAAAAAAATTCCTTAAAGCTATCTGCAATAGGATTTTCTTTCTTTTCTTTTCTTTTTTTTTTTTTTTGGTAGCACTGGGGTTTGAACTAAGGGCCTTGTGCTTGTTAGGCAGGTGCTCTACCTCTTGAGCCACTCTGCCAGCCTCACGAGTTTCTTAAGATACTGAGTTGAGGTACTGTGCTAGGAAACAAGCTGGATTAATTACATCACATAACCAGCTGTCTTAGTGATATCCTTCAATTGGGATGTCTCAGAGATTCCTTCTTAGGCTCTCACCAGTTTTCTAGGAGTCTTTACTTTCTCTTTGTCATAGATTTCAGGAACTCAGTTTTTTTTCTCTTTTCCATACTTGTGGATACCTACTTCATCACTTGGGGCTTTTCTTCCTTCAAGGTTGCCTGCAACAGTGCAATGCAGTCTCCTTAGTCCACTCCCTTCTCCTCCCTGTCAGTTCTCTGCTGTACCTGAAGACAAACACAGACCCCCTTTTTTTTTTTTTTCTTTTGGTAGTACTAGGGTTTGAACTCAGGACCTATTGCTTACTGGGCAAGCCTTCTTCCACTTGAGCCACTCTCCCAATCCTTTTTTTGCTTTAGTTTGTTTTTAAGATAGGATCTTGGCTTTGTCCAGGCCTATCTTGGACAGCAGTCCTCCTACCTCTGTTTCCCAAGTAGTTGGAATTAATAGCTGTGTGTACCACACCCAACAAACACAGATCCTTCTTGATTTAAGGGTTTTAGTGCTGATCACTGGAAACAAGAAAAATGAGAAAGTTTCAACATTTTTTATAGCCTGGTTCTGTTTTTTAACTCACTTCCTTCTGAGGTCATAAATGGAAGCCTGTTGGTTCTCTGTCCACACATTTGATCCACTATGCCCATTTTCTGCTGCTGCAATCCAGATGGAGCAATAGGGCCTCCAGGTCTCAAGTAACACCAGTTCCTTAGATCTCTGCTTTCCTCATGAATGAAACTTCTTTGGGTACCCTCTTTACAACCTTCTCTCTGGCTTTGAGCTGAGCCTCTTTTCTGTATAATAATTAAAGTGACCATAGTGTTAGGCTTTGCAAGTTCCCTAGCAGATTGGAAGTAAGTGTTTTCTGGCTCACTTTTTGTGCAGTGTACACACTGTGGTCCTATCCTGATCTTCTACCGACCTTCACAACATGGCCTCTGGTACTCGAAAAACTGGTTGGGGGAGCAGGTAAGATTTTCCTATATTCTGGCTATCGCCTGAAATCTACTTAGTAACACCAAAGGACTCAATAAGTTTGTGTGTCTCCAGTGTTCATATGGTTGAAAACAGAAATTTCCTCCCTGTTGTGTATGTTATACCTCTCTCACTTGTCTGGTTCCATGAGTTCTCTGGGCCTCTCTGACCTGTTTTAAGCCTTACATAAGATAAGTGATGTGAAAGTACTTTGTGAACTGCCTTATACTGTACTTTAAATCAATTAGCTAAATTTAGAGAATTTACACAAAGTATATTATGCTGCAGGACACTCAACCTGGTGCTTCTATTTGACCACAAGCTCCTCAAAAGGAGGGCTGATACTCAAGTTACCATTTTAAATTTTCATTGTGAGTAACGCTAATGATACCTAGTAAACATTTCTTTGTCGAGTGAATGAGAAAATGATGAAGTAAAACATGGAATGAGATGGAAGCAGAAAGTAAGGTGTGACATTCTTGTTTTGTTACAGATTTGATGCTGCCAGGACTAGTGGTGCCCCCTGCTGGTCTGCCTCAGGTACAGAAGGGTGACCTCTGTGCCATTGCCTTGGTGGGGAACAGGTACTGTGCCAGGCAGCTGTGCCTTTTGGGGGAGAAACGTAGGTAAAAAGGAAGTGGAGGGAAATGACAGCTTCCAAAGCATATGGACAAAGAATTGAAAGAAAAATCAGGTTCTTCTGGAAGAAGCAGATAGTGGGCCACTGGAATGATGGTGAGCCTGTGGAGTGTCAATACGTCTGGACTTAGGGTGCCAAAGATACTGCAGAGTTCTTTACCCAGATTCTTCTGATGGTAACATCTTATATAACTATAGTGTAGTCATCACAACTAAGGAATTAATTAAGTTGTCATGAATTGAGACAGTATTGTTAACTAAACTACAGCCTTTTTATGTCTCCCCAGGTTTTCCACTAGCATCGTTTTTCCACTTAAGGGTCCAGTCTCAGATACCACATTGCATTTAGTGTCATATCTTCTAGCTTCCTTCTGTCTGTGACATTCTCTTTTTTCCCATTCTCATCTTTTCATTATTTTTAATAGCGTTAGTGAGATATAGTTTACATACCAAAGATTTGCCTGTCTTAAATGTACAAATGAATGGTTGTTAGTGTATTTTCAGAGTTATTGAACCATCATCTTACTGCTTCCATTTTTACACTTTTTTTTTTTTTTTGGCGGTGCTGGAGATGGAACCTGGGACCTTGTACATGTGAGGCAAGCACTCTTCCACTGAGCTATACCCAGCTCCCACTGCTTCTTTTTAGAAATAATCCTAAAAAGTTAAAAGCCCCCTCACCCCGCAATCCTTTTCTCTCTAGAAGTAAACATTATCAGTTGTGTATGTATTATTTTTTCACCTAATACAGTATTTGCATGTCGGCATGCAAACCTGCAGGATCTTTTTACCTGCTGTATGGTGATGGAGGAGGTCCTATCCTTGTGGGCATTCAAGTTGCCCCAATTTGTCTCTATTCCAAATAATATTCTCTTAATATTTTTAGAAATGCTGGTACCAATATTTTTCTAGAGTAGATACTAAAAAACAGAACTTTAAGTTGAAGTTCATGTGTTTTTTTCTGTTTCCCTATGATAAAAACCTGTCATTTTTCACTCCTACTGTAGCATATATGGAGCCTATGTCTACATTTTCACCAATACTGGATATGATGGGATCAGGTAGTGGCGATGTAGACACAGAGGTGGAGGGTAAAGAATTAATGGGTCCTGGTCACTGATAAGCTGAGATGTTAAGGAAGAAGTCCTTTGTGGAAGATGCCCAAGTGTTAGGCACGAATGACAGGTGGATTTAATGGAGGCTGTTAATCAGGATGAGGAATGATAGGGAGAGATATGATGTAGGGGATGGAAGAAAACATGAAGTTAAGATTTTGTTTTGGAAATTATTCCTCCAATTCCCAGAATGAAGAATGACATTTTATTATTTTAATCATTGCTTCTTTGAAAGAGAAGGAAGTTGTAGGCATGTGTTTAAAGAGGGGGGTCAGTGTTTAAAGATCTTGTTTTTGCCACTGATTTCCTTGAACCTTTTAGAACCAAGCACCTAGAAGCCTTTCTTGTTTACCTATAGCAAAAAAACACAGTTGAAAAGAGTGGTGTGTTAATCAGTTTCTCCCCCCAAATTCTATCAAAACACATGAATGGATACTTTATCTGTTCAGTTTAGCTTTTATAGTGTATATGGGGATGGAACTTAGAGAAGGTTCATGGCAGCGGTAGGGTCCCAATAGGGGTTTTCCAAAAATACAAGTTGTTCACACACCCAAGTTCTTGAGCCTTTCACCTTTTGAGGATGGAAGAAAAAGACTTAAGAACTGGGAAAGAAGTCAGATTCAAAGTTTCTATGGCAGGAACTGCCCTATAGGCATAGTAAGCGGAACCACCATGCTTAGTAAAATAAATTTAAGTTCAAGTTTTGGGCTTTGTCTTGATTTTTCACTCTTGGACCCAGGCTACTTTGCCAGGCTGTGACTTCACTCACTGTTCAGCTAGTCACGTGTCCTCACAAGCAGTGTATGAACAGTGCTGACAGATGTCTCATTTGAGCTTGGGAGCTTTAATAGTTACCAAAAATTTAGTTGTTTTGAAGGTCCAGCAACACCCCATGCTTAGGTATATAATTAGAGCAAGCCCAGGTTGTAAAGAGTCACCTTAGGTGCCTCTCTTGTTGATTTCACTACTTCTCAGTTCCCTCTTTTCCTGGGACATCTCTCCAGCCTGATTTATGGTGTGTAAATTGCCTCTTCTCTGAACTTCCTTATAGGGTAATAGCTGTGCTTCTTAAAGGCACTTTTGAAAGGGAACTTTAAATATCCTTCCAAGTCATGCTTGGGCTTAATTGATAATAGGAATAAAACAAAGGTCATGAGTGTCAGAAAAGAAGTTACTTACACAGAGGGACAATATTTGCTCAAGGGATATTTGAAAATAATATTTATAGGCAGTTTGAAGAAAATTAAGACCCAACTGAGGCTAGTTTTGTGATATAAATGGATGCTTCAGACTGAGAATTGTAGTGCTATCACCACATGGGAGAAAAGATGGTTTGAACATCTGTCCCCTTATCGTAGACTCTGTCTGACCCTTGTCTCTGTCCTCCTTCCTAGAGCCCCCATGGCAATCGGAGTGGCTACCATGTCCACAGTTGAGATGCTGACTTCAGGCCTGAAAGGAAGGGGCTTCTCTGTGCTCCACACTTTCCAGGATCACTTGTGGTGGGTACAACATTTCTTCTGCTTGCATGGAGTAGGGGTGGGTGAGAGAGCATGGGTCCTGAGACTCAGAAGTGTGAGTATTGGTCCCAGTGTGTTAAGGTGGGTTGCTAGCCCCAGACTTTCATTTCCTTGTTAAATGTGAGGGAAGACTTGTTTTTTCCTGTTCACACAAGTTAAAGAGAATTTTGGTTATTTTCTAGATAAATTTTAGACTCCTAGACCTGGAAGACCTTAGGGATTGTCTACTCTGCCCTTCAGTGGGGAATACTCATTTTTAATAGCTTTAGTTGATATGGTTTTATCTGCCATGTACATTTTGACATCATCTGGCCCCAAAACAAAGGTTTCTGAATCCAGATCAATCCTCAAACACCAGGACATTAGCTAGTTAACTGGTTGCTTTTGTTATTCATGTCTCACATCTTGGAGCTCCTCATTAGGAAGTAACACATTCTGCACTTCAGAGCCCCTACCTGTTCCTTTCCTGAATTTTTTCTTGTCATTTTACCAAAACAGTAAATAAGTCAGTGTAGCTTGTCTTTCAGCTAAGTGCTGTGGCCTGTTGGTGTACGTATTTTATATTTTCTAGCCCAGTTTGGAATTGCTCATTTTAAAAGTGTTGGCCCAGCCTCCTTTGATAACTTCATTAGCCTGTTTTTTTAGCACATGTTTCATGACAGATGTTGTCCTAACACCTTGTTTTCTAACTCTCAGTTTGGGCAACAGCAATCAAAGTCAAGTCTTAAGTCCTTTTATCAACAGCTGCATCAACCCCCCATTCCCACTTAAATATTTATTGTTTACCTGATCAAAATAGCCTAAACAGACACTTTGGCCTGACTGCTAAAAATACTGATAAGCCTTGCTGCAACTATTAGTTAAAACTCAGTTTGATTTACATAATTTTGATGAAACCAAAGCTTTAAACTTTCTGTATGCTCTGCTAAATGGCATTGCTTTTCTTCCTGTCCTCCCAAGATTTAGGAATAAATCTGGTTCTGTGAATTAGATTTTTTGCTTTTTTTTTTTTTTTGGCAGTACTGGGGTTTGAACTCAGGGCTTATATTTGCTAGGCAGGCACTCTACCACTTGAGGTACTCTTCCACTCCAGCCCTGATTTTTGTATTGGGTTTTTTCAAAATAGGGTCTTACAAATTGCCTCTGACTGGCTTCAAACCATGATACTCCTGATCTCTGCCTCCCTAGTAGCTAGGATTACAGGTGTGAGCCACCAGCACCCAGTGAATTTTTGCTTTTGCTTTAACACAGAAGCCACTGATTCTGCAGTCATTGAGTAGCCTGGGTGTTTTGTGTTTTGTTACATAGGCTCAGTCCTGGCTTTGTACTTCACCAAACTGGTACCACAGGGGCATTTGTGATTCTTCTTTTTTTGGGGTCAGGGGGAGGATACAGGTGCTTTACCACTAGAGTGGCACCCATCCCCCAGCCCTTTTTGCTTTTATGCCCAGGCTGCTTGGGCCACCATCCTCCTATTTGTGCTTTCCACATAGTTGGAGTGACAGGTGTGCATCACAACATCTACTTTTTTATTGGTTGAGATGGGGTCTTTTGGACTTTTTGCCTGGACTGTCCTCAGAGTGTGATCCTACCTATCTCGTCTCCTGAGTAGCTAGGATTACAGACATGAATTACCATGCTTGGCTATATTTGTAATCTTAATCTTGTTTAATTCAAATTTGTTTACTAATTTTTATTCATATGAAGGGAGTTCTTTTAGGGGTTTATCTTTAATTGGTTTTTCTTTAATCTTTCTCTGTTGCAGGATGACTATTAATGATACAATTACATTATTCCTTGGGGTAGGGAGAAGGCAAGAATTACTCTCCCCATTTCAGAGATGAGGAAACTGAGGCCCAGAGTGAATTGGAATAGAGTTGAGATGAGAGCACAGTGCTCTGCTTTGTCCTGGACATCCCTACCTGCTGGCTCTTGCTAACTCTGAGCGCCTGGCTGACTCTGCCCTGACTGGGGTGGGAGAATGTTGTGGCTGCTGCTCGGTGTTTCTGACATGAGATTCTTCCAGGCGGTCTGGAGACAAGTCCTCTCCACCTTCCATTGTTCCACTGGTACCGGATCCTGCAGATCTCAATGAAGAGAAAGTAGATCCTGCCCTACAGGGAGACCTGAGGGCCCTGACTCTGGAGGGAGAGGAGATGGAGAATGGGGAGGTTCATCAGGCACATGGGGAGAAGTCCCCTCCAGAAGCCTCAGAAGACACCAGCGTCAGGACCCTGAGCCAAGACTCCAAAGATAGCAAACCCCTTCAAGGTATGGCTCCAGAAGTAGAAGGCCCACCCTTCCCTCTGACTGGAATGGCACTGAAGCTCTGGTAGGTGAGGGGAGAACCCTTGTTTACGGTGGAGGAGATGCAACAGACTTGTGATGGTTCTGTCTGAGTCCTTTCCACATAAGTCAGTATCTTCTCCCAGGTGCCCATCTACTCTGGCACTTACACTGTTTCAAGCCCTGGAGGCCCCTAGAGTTTCTTTTGGCTCTGACTTCCTGACTTGAGCTCAGTGCTCAAGAGTCTAGGAACTTTGGTACCTGGGAATATGTTCTGTTGGCTCTCCAAGTGGGTGAGGTAGAAACAGAGTTGTGTGGGGTGGTTTCTTACCCTGTGCCAGGTACTCTGCATTCCTCAGGAAGGATATGGTTCTTGTCCTTTTCTTGCAGAACAAATGGATGAACTGTTGCAGCAGTGCTTCTTGCACGCTTTAAAGTGCCGAGTCAAGAAGGCTGACCTCCCTTTACTCACCAGCACTCTCCTTGGCAGCCACATGTTCTCCTGCTGGTATGGAAGGCACTGCTGTGGGTAGGGGCCAAGGGCTGGGTCTTGTGTTCTTGTCAGTAGAGTAGAAAAGGGTTAATGGGAGCTGGGAGCTGGTTGAGTGACATACTATGGGAAGAGCAGAGCAAAAGATTGATCTGGCAAGTAAATTAGGTTTTAGTTTTAAAAACTTAAATTTTAGCCAACAAAAGGATGTTGATGAAATGGAAGATTAAAATTCCCTATAATCTCTGAATTCTGCCTGTGCTGTGGTGGTTCTGGGCTGTCTCTTCTGAATTAGGCAGTGTGTCCTGCCCAGGAAGTCTTCTAGCAGCCTTTCTGTCAGGGGCTTCTTCTGGAATCCATTCCTCACACTTTGAAAAGTAGGTTGACCAGATTAGATTGGATCAGGAGAAAGAACAGGTGTGAGGCCCCATCTAATCCAAAACATAGCCACCAGGAAAGGCAGTACTGCATGTGGATAGAATCTTGACTTTGAAAACAGCCATCTGGGTTCAACTGCCAGCTCCCCAGGGTGTTGGCCAAGGCAGATTTCAACTGATTCCCATACTCCTAAAATTGCTGTAAAGATTGCATAGCCTGTTCTACAATGAGTATTCATGCCAGGAGGTTGCTTGTTGATGTTTAACCAGACACCAAACTTCTTTCTGAGAAGCTTGCTCTGTTTTTTTCGGTTTGTTTGTTTTGTTTTTTGGTGGTACTGGTGCTTCACTCTTGCTAGGCCGGAGGCAGTCTACCACTTGAGCCACTCTACCAGCTGAAAGTATGATCTCGTGCTTTACACATGGTCTTCCTATGCAAGTGTGGCATCAGGAGTGTGTGGTGGGGTCCTTGGTAATCTGTCCTGGTCTTGCTGGGTTGCAAGTGACTGGGAAAGAGGCCCCAGAGTATCCTCTAGGACAGATGTTAGATTGAAGTAGGTTCTAGAAGGGCTCTCTGAGGGCTGGAAGTGTGGCTCAAGCAGTAGGGTGCCTGCTAGTATGTGCTTCACAGTAGAATGTGAGGCCCTGAGTTCAAACCCCAGTACTGCCCCCCACCAAGAAGAAAAAAATTGAAGGGCTCTTTAAACATTCCACTGCTCCTGAGTGAAAATAACTTTTATCAGGTGCTTCTACCCAAACACTAATTGCTCTAAGGCAAGAGTCAACAAACTTTGTATAAAGGCCAGAAAGTAAATATTTTAGGTTTTTCAGGCCACACAGTATCTGTTGCACAACCCTGCCGTTGTACTGTACCGTGACCATAGACAGCGGCTAAGCAGTGGGTATTGCTGAGTTGGGTCTGAGATGCGATTTTCTGAATCCTGTTCTAGGCCTGCCTCCCCACAGTGTGAGCTTCCTGTTGGAAAGGTTCTCCTTGAAGTAGAACTTTTGAGGCCACAGAAGGTTCTGGTTTGAGAGGAATCCAGATCTAGATCCAATGTAGTAGCCACTAGCCACATGTGGCCAATTCCATTTAAATTAATTAAAAGTAAATAAAATTTAAAATTCAGGTGCTTAATCACAGTACACACATTTGAAGTGCTTAATAGCCACATGGATGGTTAATGGCTACCATATTGGGCAACAAAGACAGAAATCTTCTGTGTTCATGGAAAGTGCTGCTGGACAGCACTGACTCAAGAGTGTCCAGTCATCTGCATCCTACTCTGATGCCACCAGCGGGCAAAAGGTTCTGAAACAGTAGCCTCTCACTGAACATGGAGGAAGAATGGTGAGGAAAAGGCCCTCTCCATATCAGGCAGGCCCCTACCACCTCTGCTTTGTTGGCTTGACTTGCTTTTTCTGTCTGCCGTCAGCCCTGAAGGACAACAACTGGACATAAAGAAGTCAAGCTACAAAAAGGTAAGGACAGGTGTCTTCTTTGCATACCTGACATGAATCAGATGGATGAGCCCTGTCTACAAGGCTCAGAGTAGAATTAAGTTTTATGATTCCAGGTATAAGGGGGAATAAAGAAACTCCCTGAGCTGAGCAGTGGGACACCCACTCCCCTCCCTTTTTGGTCCCTTTCTATCTGATGAGAGTCTGATAGTCACTAGTTAGTCTCTAGCAGCTTCTTGCTTCCCGACCCACAGGGCAGGGACCTCCCAGTTCCTAGTTTGATCACAGCCATCCAGTTCCCACCTTGCTGGGCTTGGCATTTCCTGTGTGCTCAGGTGTGGGAAGTCAGTGACATTCCCTACACTGGCCTCTCTCCCCAGCTGTCTAAATTCCTGCAGCACATGCAGCAGGAGCAGATTATCCAGGTGAAGGAGCTGAGCAAAGGGGTGGAGAGCATTGTGTCTGTGGACTGGAAACACCCAAGGTGAGTGTGGGGCCTGGTCACTGCAGCTCAGCTGGCTTCAGGACACCTGGGCCATGGACTGGGGATTGCTGAGGCCCTAGTATGAAATGTGTTTTTTTCTTTCCTTCTGCTGGGTTTTAGGATCACATCTTTCATCATACCCGAGCCCTCCCCGACCTCCCCGGCTGTCCAAGAGGGTGGCAGGGAACAGCCCTATCACCCTCCAGATATAAAACCCCTCTACTGTGTCCCAGCCAGCATGACCCTGCTCTTCCAGGAGTCTGGCCACAAGTGAGTTTGGGTAGAGCAGCCCTTCTTTGCCTGTGTGGTGTTCTGACCTACACCTTCTCTCTCTCTGAGTAGTGTTCTGCAACTGGCAGAACCTGCTGTGCCTCTGTCACCCTTTCTCCCAAATTCAACTTCATGCCTCCTTCCTGGGGGCATTTCTCTGGACTAAGTGGAGGAGAGTAGGTCTCTCCCTTTTCTATTATTCTTCACACAGTCTTGCTCGCTTCAGTCAGGGAAAGAAGAAAGCAGAGGTTGAAAGCCAAGCAAAGTGCTGCTGTATTTGCAGTCTGTCTCCTGGCACAGATGAAATAACCCATCACCTCTCTCCTAGGAAGGGGAGCACTCTGGAGGGCCGTGAGGTCAGAACAATCATCATTGACTATGCCAAAAAAAATGACCTTGTTGATGCAAACAACAAAAAGTGAGTAGATGAGGAGAAGGAGGTCTGTCTTGTCAGGTCTTCATCTTTAGCAGACATAGATACATTTGGGGATGGAATATAGAAAGTCTCAGCATCTTAGAAACAAGCAAGATTTGTGTGGACATCTACTGTTATCAGCTATGGTCTTCAGATCCGTAAGTGCAGTCAGCATGGACTATAGACTTGAGTAAACAATATCTCATGTATGTCCACCATGATCTTTAAGTGCAGATGGCTGTTGTGAGGAATGAAATGCAGACTTGAAAAAAAACTAAGGTCATTGTAGCTTTTTGGTATTTTTCTTTCTTTCACTTTTTTTTTGGGGGGGGGTTGTATTGTTTTCTTTTTTTTTTGGTGGTGGTACTGACTTTTGACTTGCTTTTGTTAGACAACTCTGCAACTTAAGCCACATTTTCAGCTCTTTTTGCTGTAGTTTTTTTTTTTTTTCAAGTAAGGTCTTGCTTTTTTTGCCCAGGCCAGTGTGGACCTCCTACTTATGCCTTCCTTGTAGCTGGGATTATAAGCATATGTTACCACACCAAACTTTTTTGTTGAAATAGTGTTTCAACTTTTTCCCTGAATTGGCTTGAACTGGAAACCTCCTGATCTTTGCCTCCCAAATAGCTGGGATAATAGGCATGAGCACTGCATCCAGTTGTATTATTTTCTTAATAAATGGACATAGATGGTATACTACTAGATGAAAAGAGTTCCATTGGTTTTTTTGTTTTGTTTTGGTGATTCTGAGGATCAAACCCAGAGCGATACACATGCTAGGCAAGTGCTCTACAACTGAGCTACATCTCCAGCCCTTGGGTTTTGAGACAGGATTCCACTATGTGGCCCAGGCTGACCTCCAACTCATGATCTTCCTGAGTCCTGAGATCACAGGTATCAGCTTCCACACCAGGCTTCTCTTCATTTTTTTTAATGTTTAAATTTATTTTAAATTAATTTTCATTTATTTTGTGGTGCTAGGGGTAGAATCCAGGGCCTTATACATGCTTGGTATAGACTCTACCACTGAGCCTCACCCCCCATCCCAAAATTATTACTCAGATTGTACAAATTCATGGGGTTCTGTGTGATAATCCACTACATGCATACAGTGTGTAATGATCAAATTGGGGTAGTTATTTATATCCCCACTTCCTGTCTTCCTTTCTTGCTGGTCTGCTTACAATTAAGCCTAGAAAGCTGCAGTAATGTGGTTAGAAGCAGAACTGAGCCAAGAATCTTGGTCTTCGAAGTTACCTGGTCCCACATTCTCCTCCACCACCTGCTATTCCTCCTAGGAAGTGTTCACTTGCATCTCCCAAGGGCACATTGCCTGATAGACTCTGAGTCTGATTCTGAATGACCATAAAGGACACACAGGAGATGACTCCTTAGCCATCTCTGGGGTCAGAAGGGTCAAATCTTAGAGTTCTTTAATGCTGCTTCTTTCCCGTTAGTCTGGTGAAATTGGATCCCATCCTGTCTGATTGCATCTTAGAGAAAAATGAACAGCACACAGTCACGAAGCTTCCGTGGGACTGTCTCCTAAGCAGGTAACAGGGACTGGCAGTCCTTCTCCAACTTTTCTGCCCCGTCTCCTTAATATGTATTACACTGAACTTCGAAATCATCACTATCTTAGTCTATGACTTTCTTTATAAGTCATACCATGCTGTCTCCATAAACACAGGCTTGAGTGATTCTGATGTGAAGGGTCTTTGGGACAAGTTAAACCAACACAACATAGGAGAACTTGAGAAGAAGAAAGAAAAGAAACATTAACTAAAAATAAGTGGCAAATCAGGCCAAGTCAGGATCAAGAGTTTGAAGCCAGCCTAGGCTACATAGTGAGTTCCAAGCTAGCCAAGGTTAATAGCAAGTTTCAAATAAACAAATAAAGCGAGGCATGGTGGCTCATGTTTGTAATCTTAGCTACTTGAGAGTGGGGATTAGGAGGGTTGCAGTTCTTGGCTGGTCTGGCTAAAAGCGAGATTTAATCTCACCTATAAAAAGGCTGGGTGTGGTGGCGTGCACCTGTCATCCCAGCTTCACTGGAAGCATAAATAGGAGGATCCATGGTCCAAGCTGGCCCAGGCATAAACAAGAGACCCTATTCAAGAAGTATCTAAAGCAAAACAAATTGGTGGCTTGGCTGAAGTCGTAGAATGCCTAACTAGCAAGCTCAAGGCCATGAATTCAAACCCCAGTACCGCCAAAAAAAAAAGTAAAAATGAAAACTTCAACTAGAGAAACAAAAGAAGGCTAGGGGGTATTGTTTTAAAGTCTTCAAAGAAAATATTCTTAATACTTTTTTTTCCCCACAGAACCATAACTGAAAATAATTTATATTAGGAATCAGGAAACTACATCCCATGGGCCAAATCTGGCCTGCCAGCTGTTTTTGTAAATAAAGTTTTATTGAAACACACCCATTTATGTATTGTCTGTGGAATACTTTGTGCTATAGTGGCAGAGTTGAGTAGCTGTTCTGTAAAACCTAAAATATTTACTGTTGGGCCCCTTTTAGAAAAAAGTTCATCAATTCTGAAATATATGATACCAGAGAAAATTGGTTAGATAAAAGGTAGAAATTCCATGTGATAAAGGTGTACTATGAAAGATTTTGAAATGTGAAGAAAAGTGAAGCAGCATCTGGAGCTGGGTAGTGTGTTCTTGAGACAGGTAGTAACTTCCACAAAATGGACTAGACAGATTTTCAGAAGGCCAGGCCAGTGGGCAGTTTCCAAGGGCAAGTCACTGATGTTCCCTTCTCTAAATCAGTAGTTCTCAACTTTGGCTGCACCTTAGGGAGCTTGAATGAATGTATATGCCTGGTCTGCGACACTGTTTTGGTTGGTCTGGGGTGCATCTCCCTACGTGATCTGAATAATTGTAATGTGCAGTCACGTTGTAAACCACTGCCCTATAAGGTCAGCTTATACTCAGTGCCTGCCCATGTGAGAGCCAGCTTCTGTGGGTTTTGTCACTTCATAACTCAGAACTTTCCTTTCAGATGCTTGGAAAAACTGCAGCCTGCTTATCAAATGACCTTTCCTGGGAAAGATCCTGTTGTGAAGAAAGGGAAAATCTATCCCATTGACATCACCCTAGCGCAGAGAGCTTATAATAAAAAGGTAATTTTTTAAAAGGTACAGTGTTTGAGGATGGTGATTTAATGTCCTTGCTAAGTTCTAGTCTCCCTAATATGATCGGAGGTTTTTAGATTGGCTTCAAACACTTCAAAGGTTGTATGATACACCCATGCTTGTGTACCTGGGCTGGGCATGGATAAAACAGGTAGAGCTCACCCTTGCCTCCCCTCTCCCTGTAGGATTTTGTCCTAGGAAATTTCTAGAGCCTGTTTCCAAAGATTTTATTTATTTATTTTTTTCTCAGTACTACATTATAGGCTTTCAGCTCTTATACATTGGGCCTTGCTCAATGAAAATAGCTTGTAAAAACTGCTGAAGGAACCGAGTGTGTTCAGGTTGACAACACAAAATTGTAGGGAACAAAGTACATCTGTCCTTAAATATGTGGAAAGCTGTCTTCTGCAAAAGGAGAGCTCTTATTCTGTATTCTGTGTCTGGAGAAGACAGATATAGCATTATTGAGTAGACATTCCAAGAAGACAGACTTGGGTTCAAATAAGAACTTTGCGGGCTGTGATTAAATGTAGTCTTTGCCTCTCTTCTTGACCTTGAGCAAGTTATTCAATCTTTTGTAACGTGAAAAATGGGGATAATACCTACCACATAAGCCATTGTGAGGATCAAATAAAGGAATATACATGGTTGAAGCATGTAGAATAGTACTTGACAAGTAAGCAGTCATGATAAATGAGAACTGGCCACAATAACTGTAATTAGCAATAATTATGGGCCAGACACACTAAGCAATTTTATATATATTAGTTTTAACACTAATTTTCTATTAATGATAACAACTAAAACGGTCCAATTATTTATAAAATAGTGAGTTATTTTCCAAAAGGCAGCACACAAAGGTCAGGTGGCCCCTTGTTGGGGAAAGATGCAGTTGGGGGCTCATGTGTCAGGGAGGGTTTGGTCCCTGATGGGGCCGCTAAAGACTCACTGACTCTCAGGTTCTAAATCTGGAGTCCCTTGCAAGTCTAAGGGTGTTTTGTTTTTTTCTTTTTTGAACTTTTAGAGACTGTTGCTAGCAACCCTTTCCCACCCACCCCAATAGTAACACACTTTCACCATCTTTAATCATGAATGAAAGAAAATTTGTTTCAAAGCAATAAGAGATGTGATTTTTTAAAAAAGTATTAATGTTTTCTGTTTTGTCTTACAGTCACACACATTTTTATCATGTGAAGTTGATAATAATAGAAAAGAACATGTGTTGCTGACTAGATACTTGATATTAAAGAATTATTGCTAATTTGTTTTTAGATGTGATGATGATTTTATTTTTATCTTAAAAAGAGTCCTTATCTTTTGAAGATACATACTGAAGTATCTATAGATGAAATGACCTGAAGTCTGGAAGGATTTGCTGTAAGGTAATCCTTAAGTCAGGACTATTTTGATTAAAAAATAAACCATGTTATATATGGGATAGAGTATCCCACTAATAATAAAACATACGAATTGGCTAGGATAGAAAGAATCATTTTTGAAGCATAAAATACATTATGTGGACAAAAGTACCATGGTTATAGGGGTAGCAAGCCATTGGAGAACACAAGGGTGAGGAAGCTGCTAAGGGTCTGTTAAGACCTCTGGAGAGAAGGGTGTGCGGTCAGCACCCACCATCAATCTGCTATCCCCATCGTCCCCCCAGGTGACTGTGGTCCGGAACTTGGAGACCTATGGTCTGGACCCATCCTCAGTGGCTGCCATCCTCCAGCAGCGATGCCAGGCCAGCACCACTGTCACTCCTGCCCCTGGGGCCAAGGACAGCCTGCAGGTGCAGATCCAAGGAAACCAGGTCCACCATCTCAGCCAGCTGTTGCTTGGTGAGTATCCCTTCTGAAGAGCAGAGGCATTAGGCTAGCATGGTAAAGCTCTTCCTGCCAACTCACCTTGGTCTAGGTATCTTAATACGTGTGTGTGTGTGTGTGTGTGTGTGTGTGTGTGTGTGTGTACACACATATATATGCAGTCTTCCAGTGGTTCCACTTCACAGTGGTGTGAAAATGGTTCACACATTCAGCAGAAGCCATAAGTCACATTCTGTATTTTGAACTTTTCCTGGGCTAGCCATATGCCCTCAGGACTCCTGAGAGATTGGACAGCAGCAGCAGCTCTCAGTCAACCAGTGCTCCAGGGTGCAGTGTGCTGCTGACCCTGAGTTCCCTAGGTTAGCATTTTCAGTTCACCTTATTTTCAGCTTAGGATGGGTATATCAGGACATACCCTGTCCTCAGTTCAGGAGCATCTGCATATGTGCATACACGCTCCCATATACATGTCCACCTAGTTCATAGCAGTGAGCCGGAGGTGGAACCAATGTCTGAGCCAGATACTTGGCCCTTTCCTGTCAGTGCTTTCTTTGCTATACATACTATTGTATTAGTTTTCTTCCTGGTCCCCTCTTTTTATAAACCATTCGTTGAGTACCCCAACTGTGCTGGGCACATTGCTGGGCTTTTGGTAGGCATCTCCTTAATCACAACAATGTAACAAGTAACTGTTACCTGTTTGGCAAATGAGGAAACTGAGGTCCAGAAAGTGAGAACAAGGTTCAGTACCCTGTCCAGAGCTCTCCTACCTCTTGAGTGCCATAGCTGGGCTCAGAACTTTTTTCTTCTCCAGAGCCTAAGTTCTTTCTATTCACTCTGGATCACCAGCCTCCAGACTGTCCTTAGTTCAAACCCTTCTCCACAGATACGCCTGAATCAACTTTCTAAAACAAATATGATGGCATTACTCCTCTCTAAAAAACTTTTTTTGTCTGTTCAGTGCCTTCAGAATAAGCTTCTAAGCTCAATAAACAAGCCTCTCCTAGTCCTCCCTGCAGGCTCTCTGCAGCTCCCACTCCTGGCTTGTCCCACATATCTGCTTTCACCGGTACTGTCCCCTTGCCTTATGTGTCCTCCCACACCCTAAGTCTGCCTGTCCACAAAAGTTCATTGGCCAAAGTCAGGATCATGTTCCATTCCTCTAAATGAGCATTTAAAAATTGCTAATGCTGCAATTCCTGATGGGCATTTGTTTCTGGTTAGTGTCTGCAGCATGACTGACCCTTTTCTCATGTCTGAACCCCTGGCTAGAGTGAGCTTCTCGAAGCAAAGACCTTACCTTTCTCATGCTTGTCCCAGCCTCAGGTCTAAACACAGTAAATACTCAATAAATAAATTTATTTTACAGCCTATGACAGTCCCTAGCAGTTAACTTTCAGAGTTAGCTTCCCCTTTATGTGAGGAACCCCATATGAGGTACTGAGAAGAAATAGAGAAAACTAGATGAGCACATACACATACCATTTCTCTCAGGAAAAAATTCTAAGTGGTACTTTCTAGTACCTAGAAAGTAGCTAGCAGTGTGAAAACTACTAAAGTATGCACTTAGCCTCCATGTGTGGGGTAAAAGGTCCATGTCAGAAGGGATCCCTGAAAAGATGAGCTTGAGCTGAGTGTAGAAGAACAGATGACATTTTAGAAATCGTTAGAACAGTCTTTACAGCAGGAATGAGCACACTGGGGCCAGGAGAGGTGGGGAGGTTACAGGGGACCGTGGACCTGGCTCAAGGAGTAACATTATAAGACATGGGAAGTGTGTGTGGGGTGGGTAGAGCTAGACTAGGCTCCACTGAGGAGTTTCTGCTTTTTGGATTGTAGAAGAGTATCGACTCCCTCGAAAACACATCCAAGGCCTAGAAAATGCCCCCAAACCTGGCAAGAAGAAGTGACAGACTCTTGTTTCATGCGGTGGATTCCGGTGGTAATTTATATGAGCATGGTCAGCTTTTACAAATAAAAAAATTAATTATTTGCCAAATGTTTTTATTCCAATCTAAATCTGATTCCCTTCTTGTTTCCTCCACTTAGTGAAAATGTTGTACTAACTTTCAAAGTCAGAAGCATCTGAAATGGGCAGATGAGGCTGCCATGCTGTACCTTTCTTCATGTGGTTTCAATGGCTCAATTCCTCCCCTGCTTTCAAGGCAGAACAGCCCAAAGTTCAAGCAGGTGGGGTCTTCTGTTTTTAAATACCCTCTACCAAGTATCCCACAGCTTCCTGCTCATCTGTTTCTACCACCTAGTTGGGAAATAGTCCCTTTCCATCTCTAAAAGTGTTAGTCACATAAAAAACACAACCCAGCTGTTCTCTGCCACCAAAGTAACAGAAAAATTGACTCTAAAAGTACAATTTTATTGTACTTTGACAATAAAAGTACAGTAGAACATGGGTTTCTGTATCACCATGGGTCTAGCCCAGTTTAGCACACTGACACTATGGGTAAATTTGTGATCTGACTCTACGATGAGTTTTGTTTCAGTGAAGTCTTAGCCAGCAAATGCCTCCTTTAGTCCTACCTTCTTAACCTGGGGTTCACAGGGGCCTTCAGTCGGTTCAGAGGGCCTATGAACTCCCTGAAGTGCTGCACAAGATTCTGTCACATTCCAAAGAGATCAGTGGAAATGTTCAGAACCACTGCTCCTATCCCTCTAAAGTTCATGAAAGTCATCTTTGTGACCAGACCTTTTCTCGTGTGACAGGAGTAAAGGCTGTGCTAAATCCTGGATTTTATCTTCAAGAAATAATCACACTTCATGGACTTTTTTTCTTATCATCTCACTTTTTTGGCAGTACTGAGAATAGAACTTGGGGCTTTGAGTTTGCTAGGCAAGCATTCTACTACTTGAGCCATGCCCCAGCCCTCACTTTTTAAAAACTGAGATTGGAAAGGCTTGAAAATATCCACAATGTCCATGGATTACCCATCTGATTCTTAGAAATGAAGAAAGGGATGGGTATGAAAATGTATGTGTGGTACCTCCTACCTTTTGCTGTCAGGTGCAGAATAGGCCTTTCCACTAGTAAGAAAATACCTTAACCTCACTCACTAATCCTGTCTACTGGCATGAACACATGGAACCTAGAAAGGATTTCTAGAAATTACCCCAAATAGAATCTGATTGCAGAGAAGCTTTTGGACAGCCAGAGTTTGATCTGAGGGAGTAGTAGTGAAATATGTTCCTTAATATGAATATGAATAACACACAGTGCAAAATTACTTCACAAACATCTGTTTTGAGCAGTTTTGGAGGGATTGGGGGTTCAGAGAGATTATGCCTTTTTTTAAAATCCCTGTTAAAGACATAAGGCAGTAATGGTGGAGGAGGTTCCCACAAAAGGAAAAGAATGTCTTCTCTTACCTGTGGTTTAACTCAGTACTTTGCTATGACAGTACTGTTGAGACCTGTGCTTTGAATGGTTTTTCCAGTAATAGTGACACATTTGCATTGAGTCACCATCCTTTCCCACACGTGAACAGCATGGAAATATATAAGAAGGCAGGGTAGAATTAGCCAGTGTATTCTTTTTTTTCTGTGTGCTAAGGCAAGTAATCTATATCAAGGTCAAACTTACAACTTTGAACCTGTTAACCCTATGCTATAATTAAATGAGTGCCAGTGAAAAGCAGAAACTGCTTTGTTTCTGTGATTTGGCAGGGATTGAAAGGATACCTCTTGGAGTTCTAGGTGGACTCACGTTACAAATGTGTATCATAATTGGCTAATTTTAAGGGTGTCTGGTGTATAGAGTATTTTCTCTTACAGGGAGGTAGGGGCTAAACTAGGATGAGCTCTGAAGAACGCTTATAGCCTAGGGGCTGCATTCATTGCAGGATATGTGATCAACCCTGGAAGATAGGCAAGAATTTCTCCTTAATAACTTTTATGTGGTTATTTCTGTGATCATGGAGATGTTCCTTTGCAGAGGATGCCAAAGTGAGACTGTGGGTCATCTAATTCAGCCCTCCTTCTCTAGGGGAAATGATAAACTTCCAAACACATTCCTATCTTATTTTTAAATATTTCAGAAGAACCATTATTTATCTCAGTAGCCTGTCCTTGAATTTAACCATCCTTAGCTCCAAAAAGCCCTGCTCTTTTATAACTCAGTATTTGCTTCTGTACTGAGTCCCCTCTCCTCTTCAGCTCTGGGGAGGTATAGAATAGCCAGGCACCTGAGCAACAACTTCCAGCCCACACATTTGGACAGTTTTCTCAAAAGTATTTGAACAGTAGCCGTCATTCCTGTTTCCTGACAAAAGAAAACCTGGCTTTGCCACTAAGTGTGTGATCATCTCTGATTCCCCTTCACTCCCCAGGCCAATTTCCATAAGATGGCAAAGTTCAAGGAAGACATTTTCATTGTGAATCATTTTTACCACAAGCTTTTATTACTTTTTAAAACCCATATAAGAAAGACATTTAAAAAGAAAATATCCTCAAAACAAACAAACACACACTGAGCAACACAACCATAGAAGGCACTACAGCAGTTATACCCACCTCTGGGAGGGAGGGGAACTCTACACATACTTTCCAGAGGCTCAAACCTCATTCTAGGTCCAGGGTCTAACTGCTTCAAAGTCTTAATTTCCCATCATTTCCTTATTTCATAAACACCCTTTTCTCTTTATATATAGCTATATGCTTCTCTCTCTCTCTCTCTCTCTCTCTCTATATATATATATATACACACACACACGACTTTCTTCTCAAAAATAAAGTAACCATCCCCATGGAGGTTCTCAGCAGCATTCACAGCGGTTGCAGCAGGAGCCATGCCTTCTCTGATTTTAGAGACATGCAGAATGAGGGAAGTGACTCAACTGCTCCCTGTGACACAGCAGGGAGAGTGAGTTCTTAAGGGAGGGAGGTGATAAGGCTGAGCATGAGATGGCAGATAACCTGGGAGTTTCTGTCTTATACAGTCCTTTAGAGTTGCTAGCTTGTGTTGCTTTTGCAGCTCTAAAGACAACACAGTTTGTATGACAAGGGGTCAGCATTCCTCTGGGATAAGGGGCAGTGTGGACTCAGCCTGGATCAGGGAGGGAACGTCTTAGGCTACATGAACAAGCTTGGGCCCTAGGTCCCCTAGAGGGACCTGAGAAGGCAGAGGACAGCAAAAAAATGGTCTCTTAGAAACTGGATTGGAACAGCAGCCCTGCTTTGAAAAAAGACAAGTCCTTCTCCCTCTCCTTTAGAGGTCTTTGCAGTCCTAGCTACTTGCTGGAATTGTCTAATTTATTTTAAACTTGAACCTAAACAAGGAGCCAGTACAAAAGTTCAGATTCAGGAATCTGATTCTCCCTGTCCATGTGGTCTGATACTACTTCTTAGTAGTCAAAGCCTAGGAACCTGGATGGGTAGAAGGAGTGACCCTCACCCCGTACGTGGAGGGAGGGCTCCTCTGGCCTTGTATCCCACACCACTGTTGTCCACTTCCTGGCAGTAACAAGCCAGCAACAGAGCTTCAAGCTAATATGCCCTGCTCTTTCTCTCTCCCTCTTTCTCTGAAAACAAAAAGGCACTGAGGTCAATGGGGAGGCCAGGCCCATGGGTTTGTTGAGTGCAGTGTCTCGGGCAGGCCGTTCTTCAAAACAGAAAGGACTCCAAGCTGGCCTAGTTGCAGGATCCCCCTCTGTAATCAAGGCCACTCCTTGGGAAGCTCCTGGAGATCCCAGCATCTTGGTAGGAGAAGGGAGGCAGTGCTGGAGGCCAAGAGCAGAGAACCAAAGCAGCCCAGGCCCTCTACTCTAACTGGGGGAAGGCTAAAGATAGGTTTCTCTACAATGCTTTTTGGTTTTCTCTTGCCTGATTTCCTGACTCAGCAGGAGACTTTGAGAATGGTTAATGGCTGGTTTCCCTTTGGTGGAAACACGTGAGGATGATGACAATATTCAACTTTGTAACTCAAAACAAACAACTGTTGGTACACATATGCAGATACATGCCTTTGGGTTTACATGTGCAGTCTCAGATGATGAGGGCCAGGGCCAGTGCCTGCTGCAACTTCTGTGGAAATTTCTGAGCTGATTTCAGCTTTGGTTCTCCTTACCTGGAGCATCTGGGGCCCATAACTGCATGAACTTGCCTTAAGAATGAACAGTGGGCACCTTAGGGCAATCCTTTTGTGAGCATTATCCTGCTTTCAGGTCTTAGCTCAGACCTACTAAAGAAATATGCTACAATGTTTGACTCATAAATAAAGGTACTATCGGTTTCAAATAAGAGAAATTGAAGAACCAAAGCCAGGGGAACATATAGCTCTAAAACCTTTTGCTTTCCTTTTGCTGGCTGGTATGATATGTTCCAGTTTGGTGACCAAAGACACAACTATCTGGTTTGTGGAAGGCTTGCAGATTGAGAGAGGATGGTACTGTTCATCTCACATGAGTTCTGATCACCCACAGAGCCTGCTGATGGGCATGGCGTGAAGGGTGGGCAGGAATCGGCCCCCACACAAACACTTGTCCATGGAAGAGACTTTGTGCCACATATGAACTGCTGGGCAGGCACAAATACACCCACCAGAGGTGTCCTGAGAAAAAGTGTCTGTTGCAAAATAATAATTAATAAAAATAGATCTGAGGGCACTGGGAGGAGAGGAAGCGAGACCGGTTACCCAGGTTTGCCCTGGGATTCTCGTAAGGCCTCCTCCAGTTTCTGTCTAAACTTGTTGTACTTCTTCTGCACTTGTTGAATTTTGTCCTGCTCTTCTTTTTCCAGGATCGTTAGGAAGTTCTGGAGCTCAGGGATGGAGAAGGCATCCCACTGTGAGGGTGAGGGAGATCAGGGAAGAAAGAGAAGAGGAAATGGGTTAGCAGTTAGCATGATCTGAGGGCCCTGCTGCCTTTACACAGTTCACACAGGTGATTCACGCACACTCTACTACTGAATGGCAGTGCCATGAATGAAGCTTGGGTCATATATGTCTGTCACACCAGCAATGAAAGTTCATATCATGGCATCTTGTGACCAAGAGATTACAGTCAGTAAGTTCCGTTTTTATTTTGAAAATCAATAGTAGCTGAAGTCTTGGTGATGCTAGAGCCTCCCAGGTTCCCAACAAGCAACAACTTCAGAGGCAGGTGGAAGACTGCTGGACTTGGACCCTGGACTCTCAGGTCAGGGACTGACCACCTTTCACCAGCTGTGTGACCTTGAGCACTCACTCTACCCCTGGTCTTGTATGCTCCTCCCCCTAGGATGAGGGGGCTGCTGCCCTTCCTATTAGAGCAGATGGGACAGCATGCCTATGAAGCTCAGGAGAGCCTTGTTGGCTCCAGCCTGTGCAGAAGGGACTGGGTGCCTAAGTGTGACTCTACTTAGGCTGTCCTTAGAGCAAAGGCCCCCAAAGGGCCAAGGAATGAGAGTCCTTAGCACTTTGAGCATGAAGGAGCATTATGGTTTATCTGGTTTAATCCCTACATTGGATAAATTAGAGACTTGCAGTCCACAGAAAGGTGAACTAGAACTAGAACCCAGGTCTTCTTTCCATAGGGCCAACAGCGTTCACACCTTTCAGTGGAATCCTTTTCCAAACAAGCTATTCTATAGACTTGAACAGATAAAGCAGATGGGAGAGGAGCTTTCATGGTTAAAGTGGGGACAGAGCCCCACCTGCCCAAATCTTCCCAATCTCCAGTGACCCCCCAAGACTGCTCACAGCCTAGGCCTCCACTGAATGGTGTGACAAAGCCTGAGACCTTCCCCTGCTCTCAGTCACTCGAAGACTCCACCTCCCAACAATCGCAGGCGTTGGGGGGCACCAGCTGGTTTCACCCCATTTATGCTACAAGATTGGACACAGGTTAGGCCTTGTTGGGGGAGGGAAGTAGTATTTTAAGAACAGAAAGAGAAAAATGGCTCAAAAATGTTTAGGCACAGTGGAACCCACAGATGGAGCTTGTTGGGCCTGAACACGGGGTTTCTAAGTCCCCTCCACCCTGAGTTTTCAGAAACAGCACAGGAAAACCTTTCTTTCTACAGGCCTTGCCAGACACAGGCAGTGACTTACTACCCCTGGAGGGGCTGACAATCCTGGCTTAAACACTGAGCCTATGGTTCAATGCTCACACCAGTCTAGCTCTCCAGCAGTCATTTTTTGCTGCTTCTGCTGCTTGGCTCCCACCAGTACTGGTCAGTTAGGACAACTGCACCCAACCGGTGGACCCTGAGGGATGGGTTTACCCAAAGGGTCCAGGACCTACCTCCACCTCTCCAGTTTCATTCTCCTTTAGCACAAAGCTGAGGACATCGGTGTCAGGCCCAGCGAGTAGGCGCAGGTAGAGGGGGCAGTCAGCAATGGAGAGTTTCTGGAATAGTACTGCAAACCAAGAAAGAGGGCTGGGTGATCACCGCAAAAAGGAGAATGGGACAGGGTAGGATGGGATTGGAAATGTAGACGGGGGCCTTATAACTGGAAGTGAACGTATGATCCTTTCAACTTAATAAAATGAAGTTGACAAGACTAGATAGGATGGGCTAGGGGGAGGGTAGCTCAGTGACAGAGCACTTGCCTAGCATGTATCAGGCCCTAGGTTCCATTCCCAGCACAGGAGAGACGATAAAGCAATGACTTCTTATCTTGGGTGTGTGCTCAGAGTTTAAGACATGTTTCCCTTCATATCTCCCAGAAGATGAGGAGCAATGGGTGGATTCTCTCCCTTACAGCAGAGGAAATGGGAGCCCAGGGTGTGGTTTTCCTGCACACACAGAGTTAGGGGTACAATAGTGGGTATGAGTCAAAGCCCTCCGCTCATCTCTGCCAGATCCAGTGCATACCTCTTCTACAGATCTGAGCACTCTATGGATGACTGGACCACCATGCAAAAGCCCACCCCTCCCACACGGGGCTGGCAGGAGCATTAGTGGGTGTGTGTGCAGACTGGTGATTGGGAGCTTTTTCCTACCTTGTCCATCCTTGTGTATCCGCTTAAAAAGCGCAAACTTCTGGGGATTGTCCACAACCATGAACTTCCTGAGCAGCCCTTGGATGACCTCACTGACTGTGGTGGTGCTGCTGATGTGTAGTTGCTTGATGGCATCGAGTGGCAGGTAGAAGGATGTCCGCTTGTCTGTGGTGGCCGCCAGGTTCACCTCTTTGATGGCATCGTAGATGGACTGGGGCCGGATCCCAGCAGGCACTGTTACCGGCCGTCGAAGTTTCAAA